TCTCGAGGTCAATGCAGTCCCTTGTCGTGCTCTGATTGACACTGGGAGCTCAGCAAGCTATGTTTCCGAGAGCTTAGTACTTACACCAATAAGTGGAAGATACTGTCTTTCAGAGAAACCGTCACAATGGCCCCCATTAAGCAGTACAAGGGGACACTGTCTTATCTCAATCAAATACAAAAACTATGTCTATGAACGTTTCGAACTATCTATACTGAGTGATCTATGTTCCGATGTTCTCCTCGGACATAACTTCCTCAGTCATCACAAGAGCGAAGAGAAGATTCCGTTTACGGTCGGCTCACTCAGGTCTGCTTTCATAGTGTCCCCGACACTTATGCAGAATCTATCTATACATTGTAAGCTTGTCGCCAAAAAATCCCGACGATACAGCAGGGAAGATCAGACATACATAAGCGAGGAAATAAATCAACTGCTGTCTGGCGGTATCATTGCAACCTACAACTCGCCGTGGCTCGCTCAAGTGCTGGTGGTCAATAATGAGAACCACAAACGGAGAATGACGGTGGACTGTAGCCAAACAATCAACAAGTTCACCAGCCTGGACGCATTTCCACTTCCTAGAATCGACGATATGATAGAGAACATAGTCAAATAGTATTTTTAGCACTATAGACCATAAAAATAGATACTATCGAATCCCTTATTCGGGAAGAAAAAATGTTTAGTGCTTTTGAGGCATGTGGACGTTTATCTCAGTTTCGTTGTATTCCCTTGGGGTTACCAACGACATTTCATGTATCCAGAGGGCTATCGATGAGATCATCTCTCTTGAAAATCTGAGAGACACGTTTGTCTACGTGGACAGCATTACTGTTTGTGGGAGAAAAGCAACTGAGCATGACTGTAACCTCAGGGATTCCTTGAACGCTGCCAAAAAATATGGTTTGACTTTCACCGACGGCAAAAGCATCACAGGCGTGAAGGAAATCAAGCTGCTTAGTTTTCAGATAACGAAAGTCAACATCAAACCGGATCTTGATCGGCTGAAGCCTTTGCAAGAAATGCCCACACCCAGAAGTTGAAATCACAACAAAGGATCGTGGGTTTCTTCGCTTACTACTCGCCATTGATTTCAGACTTTTCCATTCACGGGTACATAACCAAATCTTGCCGATAACTCCGCATGTAAAACAAAGCTCCGAAAGTCTCAAGTACGAACTACCAACGACGAGCCTAGCGATTATTCGTTTTAATATCCCGTTTGTCATCGAAATTGATGCTTCGGACATGCCAATCGCTGCTACGTTAAATCAAGGGGGACGCTCTGTCGCGTTCTTTTGTAGGAGACATCATTCAGTAGTTGAGAAAGAAGCGCTAGCCGTAGTTGAAGCCGTCCGGAAACGGAGTCAAATGCTACTCGGCAATCATTTCAAACTCATCACCGATAAGTGGTCTGTCTCCTTCATTTTCAGAAACCAGCACCGTGGAAGAGTCAAGAATGATAAAATCTTACGATGGAAAATGGAACTGTCCCCCTACAGCTTCGATAATGTGTATAGACCTGGAAAGCAAGATATGGCTGCCGACGCACTTAGTCGATCTCGTTGTGAAGTTCGCCTCGCCACACCGAACCTCAGAGAAATTCACCGTTCATTTTGTCTCTCGTATGATGCATTTCGTAAGAGCTCACAGTATGCCATTCTCAATCGAAGAAGTATGGCATGTAACAAACAAGTTCGGGATCTGTTCCGAACTAAAACCTCGGTTCTATCGCACCTATGGAGGTCATTTAATTAAAGCTACACAACCGTTCGAAAGACTCTCAATCGATTTCAACTTCCGGTACATCGCTGGCTACTTAGATAGTGACTCCTGGTAATGTCATCATCATCATCATTATCATCATGGTATAGCAAAATAGAGTGAAGCGATCTTCATCGATCGCTGTCAGACTTTTAATGCTTACAAAGTTTGTGTTAATACGTAGGATGGACAGGGATTGTGCCCATTTCGAGGAAGAGAGAATATGGTGAACCTCTATGATCAGAACACAGAGTACATAAATACTTTTCAAGCATACTGGTCTGATAAGAGATGACAAGAATGGCACTGCTGTCGGTTCGTTGCCATATGCTTTAACGTCCCCTACCAAACAGGTGAGTCTTTCGGACACTAACCTGGAAATCCCGAGACACCTACTCTAACTAACATCTTTGTGCATTCCTTCATGCCTCGTCTAGACGTCAAAGGTTGACCACCGCGCGGCTTCTCACAGTCCGGAGCGACGAATAAACAGCGGGGCGGGAGACGACAGCTGGGCACAGCTAGACGCAGAAGCCTACGAATCCGAATTCGATGATTTAGCAAGTCTATCC